AATCCCCAACCCCACATATCAGAAGTTAAACTCTAATGGTGATAAAAATAAAAAGGATCATGTTTTAAAGAATATAAAGACAAAAATAATTAAAAGGGAGAAGTAACCATGACTTTGCCATGTTTACATCTAGAGTGAGGCAGCCTCTTGGGACATTGTCATTATCGTGTCACATATGGAGGCCCAAGGGTCTCTGGTAACAGGGCGGGCTACATGCTGGGGTCCTTATAGAGGCCCAGTTCCATGAGCTGCACTACCAGTACTTTCTGAGCAAGAAGTGGAAAGGGCACATCTCTCTCTCTTCTGGGAGCAGGTAAGACACTATGACCTCAAGATCCAAGCCCATAGGATTGACATGGAAAGCTAAACTGGAGGGGAAGAGAACAGCAGAAAACAGGATGCGCTGCAGAGGGGGAGGTGCATGAAGCTAAAGGACCATAAATCAGAGGTGAAACAAGGGAAATATCAGGAATAGGGGTTTAGATGAACAGGCTCCAGCTGAAGTTTGTGGGAAGTAAGTGGGCTATCAGGCAGGAAGTTTGCAGACACTTAATTCTTTCCAGAAGAGCACATCAAAGCTCAGTGTGTCAAAGAAATGAGGTAGAATTATTGTGAATCTGGCTGGCTCTGAAAGTGGCATTTATTTTCTCTTTTATTTCTACTTAGCCTAGTTTTTAACTTGGGCTCACTTTGAATCTCTATTAAGAAATAAGCTTCTTGAATCTTTTTGCTCAGTATCTTCACACTGAGGATGATGTATTTCAAATATTCTTGATATTTTTGACAGTCATTGAAACGACAGGACACAGGCCATTTGGGGGAATTTCTAAGGCCCAGGGTTTACAGGTAAGGGACCATCAACAGGAATGGCTTATAAGGTTACTGTCTCCAATCAATGAAAGGGCAAAGTCTTTTTTATTTATGTTTATAATTTTTGTTTGGCAGAATAATCAAATATCTCAATTTCCACAATTTCTTTCATGAAAAAAATCTCCATTTGTATCTATATTTAGTATTATGTTTTCCTGAGTATAAAACTTTACCATCCATCAAAATGTCACTAAAAAACCCCAGATACAATTTAGGTTAGTACAAATGTTAGGAATAGCAATTCAGATGCAGTATTCAATTATTTTATGTGGGCAGAGAACTTAACCTTTTATTTTTTTGGAAGCTTCTTGAATGAGTCCGATGATCAGTCCTGATTCAGGATGGTTAACTTTGTATACCATTTTATTGATAATTAAAAAGCCCGTTAGGTAGATGCTGAGTATTGAGTTGTTAATGAATATATAGTCAGTGCATTATCCAAAATCAGTTATCATGTTTAGATCAGTACACTGTTACCAAAATGATGAGAATGTAATGTTGTGGAGGACATTTTCTCACCTTCTTAGCAGAATAAAATTTAAACTGTGTGCCTACCTCGGACTTCCATTTCTTCCAATTTCTCTACTGTCCTTTCCAATACTGTGAGTCAGATGGGTTGTATTTTTTGGTACTCCCTCTAGATTTATATACAGTTTTACTTTGTCTTCTTTATTTTACTTTCCAAAACATATTCAAATACTTCTATATTATTTTACATAGTTTTATTTTGACTATTTCTTTTGACCTGATTATTTAGACTGATACTGATCTTGGTTTCCAATGCATATAGAGCATGTTGTATTTCTAAGTTGTTTACACATCTTTCTCAATCATTGGTATTTGAGTTTAATGCAGTATTATATAAAAATATCTTACACAATGGCTTTAATTTGATCCTAAAGAATCATAAATATATTTTCATTTATTTATTTTAACACTGTGGCAGGATTTGTATGTGCATGTTGTTTTAATCCAAATATAGGGTGGTGGAAAATAGAAATCATTTTTTATTTTTTTAAAAATGTAGCAGCTAACTTATGAAGCCTTAATGATCACATAATCACGTATCTTTTCTGGTGATAGATGATTTCACTGTCCTATTTATTCACTTTTACTTGAGGGGAAAGAAATACATTCTTTACTCAAGATATAATCTTTTAAAACTGAGAGTGCTGGTGTCTCTAATCCCAGTACTCAGGATGCTGAGGCAGGAGGATCACTGAGAGTTTAAAATCAGCATGGGTTACATAATGGGTTCAAGGCCAACCTGACGCACATAGTGAGACCTTGTCTCACATTCTCCTTTCCTCTAAATAAAGACATCCTTTAGTAATTTTGCCCATATTAGAATTTATTAGTTTTCTTAATTTTATGTTATACTTTATATGTCAAAGTACAAATACCACTCTCTTTGTTGTCTCATTACTGTATGAGATGCACTGCATATCTATTGCAGTTTTAATAATGTAGGATCTATCATCACTCATTAAGAATTCTTGAGGATTACTGATTAATTATGTTTTGAATTTATGTGTGAATATCAGAATTCATGTCTATTTAAAAGGGCATATTCTTATTTTCAGTAAAGGAATTAAGAAATAAAGAAGATTCTTTCAGTTATTTAATATATCTTTACAAGTCTCCTTCTGCTGGAAAATATACACTTTTTATAGCATTATATATTTTATAGCTTTATAGTTATTGTGAATAAAGCCATACATTAAAAATTTTTTCTCTGTGGTGAATTTGTTAACAAGAATATCTATGAACTTGTGATGCTGATCTTCTGTCTCATTACTTTTGTCAACTTGAGCTGAAAATTTAAGTAAGTATTATTTGCATCCTTGTTTTCTAATGAAAGTGTAATCTTCAGACATTTCAATTCTGACAAGTGCTTTTTATTGTTATTCAAGATTATTTTTTCAATTATGTATTTTTCTGGCATAGAGAAGGTGCTAGTAATGGAAAATAGTTATTGCTTTGACCTCTTCCATTTTATATTTTTATATTAATAAAAATACTAACCTATAATTACTTGTAGGCTTATTTATTGTTCCAAGTTAGTCTGAACATTTGTATGATATTACATATTATTTTGTATTTAGTTAGAGCTGAGATGAAAGCAGAAAGCAATATGAAATTTTGAACAGAAAAGTTTTGGTAATTGATTTGAGGTGGGCTTAGTTAAAAAAATAAAGGAGCATAGATCACTCCAAACAATCATGTTGCTCTTGCGAACATTATTAACTATACACAGAACATATACGGTGATGAGCAGTAATAAAAGAAAGTGACTAATCTCCTTTTGAAAACTGTGCTTTTGTTTCCCCATGAAAACCCATACAGATATAGCTTCCAGTTTGGAATCTGAAAATCAGAACTGACATTCAAATACTTATTTGAAGTACTTCATTACATAGATGAAATACAAGGCTGTGAAATGGGTCTGGTAGTTTTTAAATGAAAATTAAAAAGGATAGATACAGGAAGGGTAGCTCATATCAAGTTGGAAAACATAAGTTCATTCTGGTAAAATGAAAATCAAAACCAAGGCAAAACCAGTAATTTCGAGAAACAAATGAGTGGTAAGAGAAAAATAGTAGAGATTTGTGTATAGGGAGAGACAGAATATTTCTAATCAGTAGAAGGAGAAAATTTCTAAAAAGAATCATCAGCAAAATACATGAGTTGGGTAAATTATATAAGTATTAAAATGAGTCAACTGAATTTGGCAGTTTCATGTTGTTGGCTTCCATAGAAATTATAGCTTGGGTAAATTTTCACATAGGGATCATTGTAAGGCTTCAGAGAGAAGCTTAAAGAGTTTCATATTTGCACCATTTACATAGTGTTGCATTCTACCCCAAAGTTAGCACAGTACATCTCTGTAAAAGCCTGCATGTGAAAAATATTTGTCAAAAACGTTTTCCCTCCTGATTTAAGTTCATGTGCATTCTTTAATTTTATTGAGTGAATTGCCATTGGAGCAGATATGAAATTTCCACCTCTTCTATTGCCTAGCTACACAATTTGGAGCAAATTATTTAACTAATTTAAACATCAGCTTCCCTATATGCATGTGAGTGATAAGAATTTTCTTTTCTTCCTTGAACAGTTATGGTGATTGAACCCAATGATGGATATGAAGATGATTGGATTACCATATTGTAAGAATTCATGAAATTCTGGGTATTATGAAGGTTCCTCTAATTTAAATATTAGTGTTCTCCTATTTAACAGAACATAGTGCTTCCTGCCGTGTGTTAAAAGGGACAAAATTTCCTTCTTCCCTCTTTCCCTCTCCCCCGCTTTCCTCCTTCCCTTTCTCCCCACCTGTTCCGCTCCTCCATTCCATTCTCTTCTCATTTGTCTTTCTTGTTCTTTGTCGATTTCTGTTTATCTTTCTTTCTTTGCTTTATTTTCTCATGTTGGTGCTTTCTCTGAACAATAGACAGGTCTTTTGAAAAGAAATTTTGAGTAATTTTCAGTTGCTGAGTCTTAGTTTCCTTATCTGCAACGCGCACATACCACAACTCCTACTGTCAGAACACACATAAAATTAGACAATATATCAAATGTACCACACCTAGGGAGCTCAAAATTAGTGAGACCAATACTAACATACCTTAGGCTATTTCATATCACCCTAAAATCAACATATTTACAAATAGACATGTGTTTTAGAGATTTTTTTTGCATATTTCTGGATATTTCCCAGGAAAGCCTGATAATATTTCATTCCACATATGATTTGATTTGTTTAATCCTTTCTTCCAGAATCAATAATTGACTTTTAGAAATACTTGAACCTGCATTTCTTATATTTTGTTATTTGCCTGTGGACTTTTCCAGGTAGTGATGATTTTACCTTGATGTTTATTGCCACCGATGAGAAAGAGACAGGTTTCCCTTACTTGAGAAAATGTGATATGGAACAATTCAAGTAATTCTTTAATTCTCAATAAAGGGGAAACACCAAGAGTGTGAGAAAGAAGCTTGCAGCTCTAACAAACTTGGAAATACTAAAGTTTCTCAAGAATTAGCTATAGTAATTGGATAAATACTGGATTGCCAGAAAGAGCTTTTAAATAATGAACTATATATGTTTTTATCTGTTATGTTCAATTTCCCAAATATCCCTTTCTTCTTAGTCCACCACGATGTTGGTCCTCAATAATACTAATGCTCAATCTGTGACCTTCTTTCTGACGGGCATCCCAGGGCTGAGATCAGGCCAGGTCTGGATCTCCATTCCTTTTTGTCTCCTATATATCATTGCCCTCTCTGGAAACAGCATGATCTTGTTGGTGGTCCTCCGTGAGCACAGCCTTCATGAGCCCATGTATTACTTCCTCGCCATGCTTTCTACTACAGACCTGAGCTTGTCCCTGTGCACACTTTCCACAACCCTTGGTGTCCTCTGGTTTGAAGCCCGGGAGATCAACTTAAATGCCTGCATTGCTCAGATGTTCTTTCTGCATGGCTTTACTTTCATGGAGTCTGGGGTTCTGCTTGCCATGGCCTTTGATCGATTTGTGGCCATTTGTGACCCACTGAGATATACCACCATTCTCACCAATGCCAGGATTGCCCTGATTGGGATGATTGTTTTGATAAAGAATGTTGCTGTCATGGTGCCAGTTGCACTATTTGTCAAGAAGCTGTCTTTCTGCAAATCTCTTGTTCTTTCACATTCTTACTGCTACCATGTTGATGTCATTCAGCTGTCATGCACAGACAACAGAATCAACAACATCCTAGGTCTGTTTACAATCTTCTTCACTGCAGGGTTTGATTGCTGTTTTATCTTACTCTCCTATATTCTGATCATCCGATCTGTCCTCAGCATTGCTTCCTCAGAGGAGCGACAGAAAGCCTTCAATACCTGCATATCCCACATCAGTGCTGTTGCTATCTTCTACATTCCTCTCATCAGTTTGTCTCTTGTCCGCCGCTATGGCCATTCAGCACCTGCATTTGTTCATACCATCATGGCCAATGTCTTCCTGCTCATCCCTCCAGTTCTCAATCCTATAATCTATAGTGTGAAAACTAAGCAGATTCGAAAGGCTATTATGAAGGTCTTAATTCAGAGGAAATGTCAAATTTAACCAACAGCAATCTCAGAGTAGAGAAAACTATTTCTGAACACGTGCTTTTGTAGAATGATGTAATTGTACCCAAACTACCAAATATGCTTCTGAGAGGCCAAACTGTGCAACCACAGGTTGTAGGTTATTTACTTTGTCTCTTTGTTAGTACACTTACATGAATAACATTTAGATTTAATTTTTACTTTCAATATAAAGTGAGGAGCCAGGGATATAGCTCAGTGGCATAAGTGCCTGCCTGGCAAGTGCAAGGTCTTGAGTTTGATTCTCAGTACATATATATATATATATATATATATATATATATATATATATAGTGAGTTACTGTAGGTGAACAACTACTGCTTATATTGGAAAACAGTGTTAGAACATAGGAAATATTTTTTCAGATGTGGTGTACAACACCACATTTGAAAATATTTAATATGGGAATCTTGATAAGGCAGTTGTTCTCTACTTTTTGACACACAAAAACACTTTAACTACTTAGATATTTTTCTCTTAAAACTCTTAATTCTCTGCATACATCTAAAATTATCATATAATTGAGTGAATTCTACAATGTATATTGGTGTATTTGGACTTTGTGTCTTGTGTAAGTGCACCTATCTTGCCTTGTATTACATGCAGGGATATATCTAATATAAACAAAATACCATACCAATTGCTAAAAATTAGGTACTACATTTGTCAGGTGAACAGTAAAAGGTGTTAATAATATTTTTCATCTTCTAGGAATGAGCTTAATTCTCTTTTGCCAATATTTATTAAGGTTAGGCCTGGTGAAAGGAAGCCTTTCCTTCTGGTTTATGTGTATCTCTATTTCTGCCATATGATTCTGTTTATGGGACAAGTTTGGGGGAACAGTGGTAAATCAAGCTTTAAAAATTTCCCTTTTCATGTATTCTAAGCAAATAACAAAAGCCAGCTCATTCCATAATTTTAGACCAAATATTTTTACATAAAAATGGAAGAGTATATTCAAGATTTGCAATGACCATATCACTGAACATCATACCTTTTATCCAATAAATAACAAGTGAGAGTCTTCCTAATTATGGTATTATTGCATTTCATGGAACATTTTCAGCCCTCTGAGGGTGTTTAATGGGGTCTTAGTTGTCAATTGACCATGTAAATCATAATGTGATTCAAGAGCACATGAGAAATAGTTGACATCAGTGAAGAGTGGAGAAGGTGTTACAAAACACTACATTGAATTTGATTTTATGTTACTCGGATTCCAACCAAATGACATAAACCATGCAACAGTTTCAATGGGAAAAGATTAATATAAAGAATTATTAACAGGGAAGGAAAAAATGGGAGAAATTGGCTAGTAAGATCTAGATCTATCTACTTTTATGATAACTGGAAACCTTGAATGTAGTCTTTCATTTGTTCCAAAACTATAAATAATATAATAGCAACTGTTATGGTCTGTGTATGGATGTCTCCTTGAAGTCACATGCAGTCATGGTGGGTGGACTTTTCAGAAGTGGTTCAATCTAGAGTTTGTGATTGATTCATGGCCTAATGCTGGAGTTAAGGCTCAGAAGTGGTTCAATCTAGAGTTTGTGATTGATTCATGGCCTAATGCTGGAGTTAAGGCTGTGAGTATACACTCACCCTAGGTGGATAGCCTACATACAATGTAAGAGATGGAAAGAGGCTTGTCTCTCCTTGTCCTCTCTTGTAGCTTTTGGTATCTTCTTCCTCCATGAATTGTGGCCTCTCTACCATGCTACCCAGTCTTACAGACAGCCAATTATGGACTGTAACCTCTACAAACTGTGAGCTAAATAAATCTTTCCTCCCTCTTATTTTGGGCATCAGTTGTTTTGTCTCAGCAATAAGAGAAAAGTAACTAAGACAGAATTTGGTACCAGAAGTGGGGGGGGTGTTATTGCTGTGATGTTGCCTGGCCATGGGGCCAATCTCCCTAATGAACATAGGTGCAAAAATACTCAGTAAAATTCTAGCAGAATGCAACAAATCATCAAGAAGGTTGTACACCATGACCAAGAGGGATCTACCCTAGGGATGCAGGGATGGTTCAACATATACAAATCAATAAATGTAACACATCATATCAACAGAGCCAAAGACAAAAACCACATACTCATCTCAATAGATACAGAAAAAAGCTTTTGACAAAGTTCAGTGCTCATTCATAATAAAAACCCTACAGAAAATCAGAATAGATGGTCTTTACTTAATCTGATTAAAGCCATGTAAGACAAACCAACAACAAACATCATACTAAATGTACAAAAACTGAAAGCTTTCACTCTAACATCAGGACAAGAAAAGGATATTCACTATTATCACCTTTGTTCAATATAGTTCTGGAAATATTAGCCAGAACAATTAGACAAGAGAGAGAGAGAAAAAAAAGGAATATGGACAGGAAAGGCAGAAATAAATTATCATTATTCAAAGATGACATAATATTCTATATAGATGACCCCCAAAAGACATTGAGATTTAGTAATCAAATTCAGTAGCATAGCTGGATGTAAAATTAATGCTAAAAAATCAATAGAATTCTTGTGCACAAAGAACAAACTCACTGAGAGAAAAATTAGGGAAACTACATCTTCACAATGGCAAACAAAAATGAAATACCTAAGAATCAATCTAACAAAGAAAGTAAATGATGTATATATTGAAAATTACAGTGTTCTGAAAAATGGTATTGAAGAGGATATCAGAAATGGAAAGCTATCCCTTGCTCATTGATAGGAAAAACCGATATAGTGAAAATGGCCATACTCCCAAAATTGTTATACAGATTTAACACAGTCCTAATCAAAATATCATTAACACATCTCACAGAACTACAGGAAAAAAAACCCCAAGATTTATTTGGAAACAGAAGAGACCTAGAATAGCGAAGGCAATCTTGGGCAACAAAGGAAAGGCAGGATGCATCACATCCCTGACTTGAAATTATACTACAAAGCTACTGTGATGAAATCAGCATAGCACTGACAAAAAGCAGACCTGAAAATCAGTGAAACAGATTAGAAGGTGCGGACACAACTAAAAACATATTTTGACAAAGAACCAAGCATGTTCATTGGAAGAAAGATAGCCTCTTTGATAAAAAAATGCTAGAAAAATGGGCTCTCTACATGCCAAAGACTAAAACTAGACATCTGTCCATCACCATATGCTAAACTAAAGTCAAAATGGATCAGAGATCTAAATATTAAAACAGAAACATTACATCTACTGGAAGAGAAAATAAGTAGAAATCTTGAAGACATAGGTGTAGGCACAGAGTTCATGAACAAAAGCCCAGCTGTGTAGGAAATCCTTCAAAGAATTGAAAACTGGAATCTCATCTTATTAAAATATTTTGCACAGCAAAAGAAATCACCAACAGAGTAAAAAGACAATCTACAGAGTGGGAAAAATTTTATCCATGTGTCTCTCAGACAGAGGACTTCTATTTAGAACATATAAGGAATTGAAAAAACTCAAACCCTCTAAATTCAAAGATCTAATCCAAAAATGTGCATCTGAGATGAATACACACTTCTGAGATGAAGAAATACAAATGGAAAGTAAATATATGAAAAATTTATTATTGGTCATTTGAGAGATGCAAATTAAAACTATATTGAGATTCCACTGCAGTCCAAAAAGAATGGTTATCATCAATAAATCAACAAATAACAAATGCTGGAGGGGCTATGAAAAGGAACTCTTCTCCAGTGTTTGTGGGAGTGCAGCCTGGTGTAACCACTACAGAAATCCATGTGGAATTTCCTTAAAAAACTAGGATTAGAAGTCCCATTTGACCAAGCTATTCCCCTTCTGAGTATCTTCCCAGAAGAATTAAAAACATCATACCACAATGATATATGTGCACCCACGTTTATAGCAACACAATTCGTAATAACTAAATCTTGGGAACAACCCAAATGCCCATCAACCAAGGAGTAGATAAAAAAGATATTCTAATTTTATACAATGAAGTACTACTTAGCCATAAAGAAGGATAAACTGGTTTGTTCCCCAAAGGGGACTTTTATAGGTAAATGGGTGCAATTTGGGACCATATTCATAAGTGAAATAAATCAGACTCATATGTGTAAACATCGTATTATCTCCCTGGTATGAGAAATTGAAAGAGTAAATAAGGTTTAAAATGTACAACACATATTGTGAAATGGGAAGAAATTGTTTAAAAGGAAAAAGGATTTTGGACAGGGTAAAGGGGAAAGGAAGGATAGGAAATGGGACAAAAATTCAAGTTAGCTATACTATTAGCATCTCTTAGTTCATGGAAAAGGAAGGTTTGTGCTAATATCAATTGGAGAACTTTTTATGCTCATATCTTGTACTCTGAACAACTACTGTGATGATGACAATATGCAATGTATTAACTATTGCTATTTTCCTATTATTTTGTTTTAAAATTGTTTTACCTTTCTTCATAAAATTTTTTAAACAGTTAATAAGAAGCAAAGATTGTGATTATAACCAGGCACGGTGTCACATACCTGTAATCCGAGCACTCAGGAGCCTGAGGCAGGAGGATTGTTGCAAGTTTGAGGCCAGCCTGGGCTACACAATGAGCTCAAGCCCAGCCTGAACAGCATAGCGAGACCCTGTCTCAACAAACCAAACCAAGTCAAACCAAATCAAGATTGTGATTGTAATATCTCTTGATATGATTTTAATGTAGTTTTTAAGTGTATATTTGTAATCAAGTTGTTTAGTCAAAGTATTGTGGTTTTAACCTTGAATTTTGAGGACCTTTTGAATATTTGCTTTTGGTGTGGAAATGAGTGCAATAGAATTGTGTATATGTAATTGCTGTATAAATGTAAATCTGAATAGATAAAAGTGTGTTAATTTTTTACAAATCTGCTATTGGAGACTATGCTCTAAGGAAATGTGTCTGGTTATCAAGTTGACCAGGGCTAGATTATGGTGGATTAACTGTTGATCAACTTGTGACACCCAGCTGAATGGAATCAGTGTGA